AAGAAAGAAAGAAAGAAAGAAAGAAAGAAAGAAAGAAAGAAAGAAAGAAAGAAAGAAAGAAAGAAAGAAAAGAAAGAAAAGGAAAAAAAAGAAAAGGAGAAAGAAAGAAACCATGTGCCTTATGCCCACGTATGTCTGAAAGTGATGGGGCAAGTCATGCTTTATCTGTTAGCCCTCCTCAGCTTTTCCAATGGCTCAAGCATTGCTGGGGTGAGAGAGAGTGTGGCATACCTGGGGGTCTCCAGTCCCACCACCCACCCTAGGAAAATCACGGTGCGGGCATACTCCTCGGAGGCTGGGCTCCGGAAGTGTGGAGGCTTTCCTGAGAAGGAGCCCTGAAGCCACCTGCACAGGAGACTGAAAGCCTCCTTCGGCGAGTGGGAAATCCTGCTGAGGACCCCGCTTTGCTCAAGCATTCAAATGTGTGTCTGTTTTATTACCCCGAATTGAAAAGGGACAAGAGCTTTAGCCTTTTTATCTGGCCATTTGATCAGCAACTACAAGTGTGTTGAGTGGTTATTATTACATAGGAGGCTTTTCAGTTTGGGGTCAGTAGATCAGTCTCTTCAGACACCGACGCAGAAGCTAGGACTGGTAAGTAGGTATTATGTGCTCAGGAGCGCTAGGGGACAGGAGCAAATGGAGAAGAAAAGCAGAGGCCTTCTCGCCAGGAATATCGATCGGAATCCCCGCAGGGACGCCGCTGAGGGCCCACACGGTTCAGCTCTGGGGTTAAACAAGCCCAGTGGCTCCACAGGGCTGCTGAGGCTCACTGCCAGGCCAGAGCCTGGGAGAGCTGGCTCCTGCCTCCCCACCCCCATCCCAGCTCACCAGAACTAGGTCCCATTTGTCTCCCATAATCTCCTTTTAGTTTCCCTTTCATTTTCTCATTTTTGACCCCTTTGGGTCTTGCCAGAGGCCCAAGCATACAGGAATTTGAGGGACCTCAAAATTAAGGTGTCTGATTCGGACCAGCTCCTGCAGATCTCACCTTTAGGTGAAGCAAACCCGGCACAACGGAAGCAGGTCCTCCCTCCACACGTACCTGCCTCCCACAGGTCTATCTCCTCCTTGCCAACTTACTTGGGTGTATCCACACCCGAGGGTGGCATTTCAAAGGTAAGGGAGAAGACATCAGGGAAACTCAAATTGCCCCAGCACTACGTTTCAGAGAAACAGACTCCAAGTAGACGGTTTCGTTGGGAAAGGGTGGCCAAGGCAGCATGTGGTTGTAATCGCACCCACTTGGGCCTCGTTGGCAGTGGTTCCAGAGGCAGGCTCCTGAAAGGCAGTTTGTGTTACCCCAGCAAGATGCAGCAAGGACAAAATCCCACGGATTTGAACCCAAAGATTCCCTGGCTTTGAGCCCAAGAAGCCTCTGAACCAAACACAAACATGAAAAAGGAGGGACTGAAAAAACCCAGGCAAAAACTGGACGGGCGCCTCTCAGAGGAAAATCGAGGCTTTCCTGGCAGGCGAGTGGTCTCCTCCAACGCCCTGAAGACAGAGCAGAGCCTCTGAGCACTAAGGTTTGCACCTTGCAAGGCGGCCTGCTAGGAACCTGCCACAGTTCCCGGTGGCGGACAGACATAAGGCCTTCTTCAGACAGCAACTCCCAGCGGCCACTCTAGAAGCAACTCTGTTCTAACGGCCGATGCCTTTCACCAACGTGCTATCGCATCGTCTGGGCCACCTGACGCCCGCAGCGGCAGAGCATGGCCGGGACAGTCCCCAGCGGCTTTTGCCAGGAGCACCACGGGCATGCGTGTCTCCTTTGGCGCGGGGAAGTCTTGGGCTATGCTGGCCGACCGGCATCTTCTAAGCGGAGAGGCGGGGACCTCATTTTAAGAGCCTCACACCCCAGTTCCCTCTGGCTAGTGCGACTCCCGGCCCAGCTCAGCCCATTTCTCCCCGCAGTTTAGTTCGGACCCGAGCTCGAGAGACCGAGCTCAATCCCCGTCCGTCCGTACGGAACACAAGATGTTTTCGCCTGCTGGCTCGTCGGATTAATAATTGAAAAGCAACTGTTCTCGTGTGGTCAAGTCCCGGGTGCCTGGAGAACACCTTTCCAACACGCGTTAGGGGGAGCGGGAGCGGGAGGAAAAGGCAGGACTCGAGGGAGGGTAGTGAAGCCGAGCGAGAGAAGTAGCCCAGGCCGCCAGGCGCCCTCGACGCGAGCGGCTGTGCATTTATTTTTATTCCAGGCTTTCCACCGTGTGGTTATGTCACTTTCTCAAACAAATGTGTATATGGAGGGAGATCGATGCTGATAATGTTTAGAAGATTAAAAGAGCATTAATGCTGGCAACAATAACGTAAACGTGTGGACCCAGATCTCATTGATCTGGAACCTGATCCGGCGCGTTTCCAGTAAGCCCGACGGCGCGCTCTTCCCAGCAGAGCGCTCGCCAGCGCCCCCGCTCCCCAGCGCCCCGTCTCCCCGGCGCTCCCGCCGCGCCGCTTTCCGGGCTCCCGGCGGACCCACGGGTCGGGCTGCGGTTTCTCCACCGCGCGGCCCCAGCTAGCCCTTTCCCAAGGCTTTCTCCAGTCGCAGAGCTGCTAGCCATCCCCGTGGTCCCCGCGCGCGCGCACACTGCGTTCTGAGCTCTCTACGGAGGGCTCTGTAGGTGGCTGAGTCCGCGAAGGAACTGCACCAGACGCGCCGCTGAAGTCCTCCCCGCTCGCTCGTTCTCGGGGGACCGTAGCGGCCCCCGGCGGATCGAACACTGTCCGGC